TGTTTAGCTGTTTGATAAGACAAAGAGAAACTGCTATGGCCGTATGGAGCTTGGACCTAACATCCCCCTAACATCATTTGAAGTCTGTGGAGAGTACTAATTTAGTGTGGAAGAGAGTTAGTCGAATGAATCTATCATTAGAGATAGAGAGCTGTGCTGTGATTGGCTCATACGACTAATAATAGACTCATCTTTAGTGAATCGACTAACTCTTATTGGCTAAAAATTCACTAAAGACCCACCACCATAAAACAAGAACCCCAAGAAACACCAAGCAGAAGAACCTGAAAAGAAGGCGCCAGTTGGCTATCTTCGATAGCCAGAGTGCGCGTACTGAATCATCTCCAACATCGCGAAGGCTGACTGACTCAAGTAAGATAGACAACTCATCAACGTGACGTAGGAGTGTGAGTGCTTCAACATAATCTTCTCGGCATCAACTATCGTAGAAGCGTCTGAAACTCCCATTCCGAAAGAAGGTTGGCATTCTCCTCTCGCTTTCCAGAGTACTGATACTCTAACAACATGAAAGCTGACTGACTCAAGTCACATGAAGATCACTCATCAATACTATACTTTGTACTTTGTACTTGTACGTACGCTATGTGACGATACACCGGTACCTGGTACCAGGTATGATGCCAGGTACCGGTGGTACGTACCGGTACCGGTATGCATGCTTGAAATTGACATTGATTTCCTCCCTTCTTCGTCAAGGGGATATCGAAATGGGATCCCCAATATTATAATTATGTACTGACAAAGACCTTCATGTACGATAGAAACGAAACGGTGAAAACGGGATCGTTGAATTGGATCGCTTTTTTCTTTTGACACAAATCTTTTGACCAGACATTTTCAAGAGTAAGCGGAAGCAAAAAAGTACAGCAATGGATGCCAAGGTAGAAACGTATTACAGCGAAATCTTCACCGATCTCACATTGGACGAAGAAGAGGCTCAAGAGCTGATTGATTACTTCACCACCTTGAATCCTCCTCCTGACAAGTTGGTGTGGTTGCGCGCCACTGCCTTTCGTTTGGGATGTGGGTTCCTGTCCGAAGAGCACGAGAAGAATGTCTCGTTGATTCGTGCTATTAACGCCATTATTCACTGCCTTGAAAAGACCTGCATGGTTCCCGCAACTGCGGAAGGCAATGCCGACTTTGACGCCGAAGGTGCCGAAGCCAAGATTCGCAGCATTTACGAAGATTTGTCGGTTGACAATGCCGAGAACCAAGATCTGTTTGAATACTTTCAAGGAAACACACCGTCTGTTGATAACTTGGTCTCTCTTCGAGCCACTGCTTTCAAGGCCGCCGTTGACTTTCTGAGCGACGACAAGGACAAGAATGTTGAGCTCTTGCGTTGCATCAATGTCGTCGTTCATGCCTTTGAACGTGTCTGTCTTCGTCCCAAGGAATACAAACTCAAGTTGGCTCCTGAATTCAATTTGGATGTCAGTCTCAGTGATGCTGTCCAAGAATTGTGGAAGCTGGATGTCAATCGCTTGACACCCGACCGTGACTACTCTATCAACGTGCAAGGAGGCAAAAAGCCATACTGGAAGGAAGACCAGGCCGAAGACCCCCTCTTTACCTCTGTCGACCGCCGTGCTCTTAACCGCCCCACTTACAAAACCTTTGTGGCCTTGTTGGATAATTACACATCCCAAACGGGCCAGGCCGAGCGCGTCACCAGTTCTGAACGCAAGGAGAACTCGGATTTCCTGAATGCCATTATGCAAACAGCACCCATGCAATTTTGCCATAAATACCTCCACGCAAAGATCCCCGACAAGGTTTCTTCCAGCCAAAATGAATTCAAAAAGTTGCTCAACAAGATTTGGTTCGACTTGTACCGCCGTGCCGGATCCTTGGACTCGAGTGGATTTGAGCACGTCTTTGTTGGTGAGGTAAAGAATGGAAAGATTTCTGGATTCCACAATTGGATCCAGTTGTGGATGGAAGAACAAAAGGGTGATCTTGACTACAGAGGCTACATCAAGCCTCGGGGTCGTTCCGAGGCTGTCACCGATTCGAATGATCACATCTTGACCTTGCAATTCTCTTGGCATGGAGTCGAAAAGGCTGTTGGAACCAGTTTTATTGGAGTCTCACCCGAGTTTGAAATGGCGCTCTACAGCATGTGCTTTTTGTTGGGAGAAGAAGACAATCAAGTCTTCCTCAACACTGGTACGGATGAATTTGAATTGAATATCAAGTGCTACACTTACAACGGTGACAAGATTGGAACTGCATTCCCTGAAGCAACCGCTCACTATGACTAAGATATATACAATATAATAGACTAGACTTTTCATCTTTTTTTCCAACAATCCCAATTTTTTGCTGATTCTATTTTCTTTTTGTATTTTATGTTGTTGCTGTTTTAGGAGTCAGAGGAAGATCCTTGTGCTAGTCTTGGTGGAACTTGTCCCGACGACGAAGACGAAGAACTTTCATCCCAGCTGGCTCCTCGTTTCGGTGCCTTTCCCAGAATCCAATTGCAAATCTCGTCCACCAATCCATTCAAATCACTTTCGACCCCAAAGGCAGCACTTTCCAATCCCCCCATGGCTTCCTTAGCCATGGTCTTGGGATCAAAGGGCATGGAACCACCATTCATGCCGGCACCAAAATCCAAATTGCCCAAATCCAAATCGTCCAATCCGAATTTGATAAAGACCGATGCCAAGTGTCCACCTGGTACGCCACTCACTGTGATTGGTCCTGCATTGTTGCTCCCGTCCTCATCCTCACTAGTACTACAGAGATTGACAAACTCTTCGCTGCTGTCCATATTGTCATCATCCAAGACAAACATGCGAGTCTTGGCTTGCAAGTCCTTGCTGTACCGCATTTGAATGAGCCGCTCGGTATCGGCGGGATTGGGTGTGAAATCGACCCCCATGCCAGTCACAAAATTCTCGGCAAACCCAAAGACGGTATTCAGCAGGGCCGTATTGTCTCCCATACCACCAAAACCAGCAGCACCTGGAGAAGTAGTCTGTTGCAGTTGCGAGGCAAATTCCCTGACCATGGAAATGGTTCGGCCAAAGGAAAAGTTGTTGAAGGAAATCAAACCAACTCCATCATAGTCTTGACCCGTCGCCCCCAAATAAATCGTCTGCAACTTGCCGCCCAAACTATGGGCCAAGGCATAGGTCGGAAGATTGGCAGGATATTGTTTGGAGGGGTCGTCTTGACACAACATGACGGCTTTCCGCATTCGTTCTCCAGTATCCTTGGCCATGGTGAAATGATCCAATCCTGTGATTTGGTAGGGTGCCGAGATGCAAACCGCATTGAGTCTGTTGGATATACGCAAGAGCAGTTCATTGTAGGCAATGTGTGGAAATTGTCCCAACCCAGCACCTCCTGTAAAGACAATCATGCACGACGGAATGGTAGTCCCAGTGGGTGGCTCTAAAATCCAGACGTGATCTTCCTTGACATTGGTTCCGGCGGCTTCTTCGGTTGCGGCTGGCAAGACTAGTTTGGACCATCGTGATTTGGGCTTTTTGGAATTTCGTTGTTGCATTTGAAATTGTTGATCTAGTCGTGCCAATTGGGAGGTAAGAGGACCAAAGTCGTCGGCTCCTCCACCTCCTGGGCTTGATTGCAACACCAAAGAGGAGACTGATACATGACGACCACTCGAAGACGGCGGTGAGAAGGAAGATACCATCGATACTGTTAGTGTTATGACAAGTAGTATGGATATCATTGTGATTCCAGGGTGCTGTGATCTGATTCTGTTTCGTCGTCCCATCATTATTGTCAGCATGTTCGAATGGATTTTTTGCACTGCAATCTACTTGTACGATACTCCGTGTGTGTATCTTCTCTGTATCTATCCTAGCTTCTTTGTGTGTGTATGTGTGTGTGTGTGTGTGTATTGTGTCGATGGCAGTGGATGATATATATACTGTATATAATATGTGCAATCGTTCGGATGATGTGATGTGAGATGATGTGAGATGAGTGATTCAATCCTGAAAAAAGGAAAACCACGTGTTGAAAATCTTCCATGGCATCAATTTCTGTTCTTTAGGATGGATTACGAAAACAGCTACCTATTTTTGTATTGGAGGGTTCTTCGCCTCCATCGACACACGATTCGATCGACTTCGTTGGAGTGTCATTTTCAAACGAAGAAGCAACAACACAACTTGAACTCTCTTTGGAACCTCTTGCAAACGCGACAACAGTGTTTACGGTAGAAACTTCAGAAAGACTGAAAAGAGAGCAAGCAATCAACCAAACGCACACACAAGTACACACACACACAAGTACACACACACACAAGTACACACACACACAAGTACGCACGTAACAAATCAATATGCCCTTTGCACAACCTGACAACGGCCGTCAAGGTGGAGTTGGAGATCCCCAAGGACCCGACGAATGGTTCAAATCCTTGCCGATTGTCACACGCTATTGGTTTGGTGCTACCATGTTGGTCACTTTGAGCGTCAATTTTCAAATCATCAATCCCTACAAAATCATGTTTGATTTTGATTCCATCAAAGGAAGTTTGGAATTGTGGCGACTGCTGACTCCCTTTTGTTATGCGGGTCCTTTTGATTTTGGAACGCTGATCGGTTGCTACATGTTGGTACAATTTAGCAAGCAATACGAAAAGGGCGGACCATTCAATACTGGCGCTGGAGGAGGAACTGCGGATTATATCTTTTGCATGATGTTTGGAACCATTGGCATGCTGTTGTCCTATCCAGTCTTGATGCCCATTCTTTCGCTCCCTCCCATCTTTTGCCGCAACTTGACGTATTATGTTTTGTACATTTGGAGCAAACGAAATCCTACTGCCAATGCCAATATTTGGGGATTCCCCATCAAGGCTATATATCTGCCATTTGCGTATTTGGCAATGACTGTCTTTATGGGACAAGGCTACATGGATATGCTACACGGAATTGCCATTGGACACATGTACTACTTTTTGGTGGACGTCGTTCCTGTTGTGTACGGCAAGGATCTATTGCATACTCCTTCCTTTTTGATTGATACCTTTGGAATCGGAGAGTACACACCACCGGCGCCTGGAGCTGCTGCTGGAAGACCATTGGGTGGTGGTGGTGGTGGTGGCGGTGGTGTCACTGGATTTGGTGCGCGGGCTGCCGGAGGAGCAGCTCCCGCTGGCGGTGGTGGTGGTGGACGTCACAACTGGGGTACTTCTGGTCAACGATTGGGTACTCAATAGATGGAATGTATATGTATGCCAGTATTTCAATAGCTTTTGCAGTCCATGACTTTCATTTATTTCCCTTAATCGTCGTCGTCACCATATTCTCGTTCCAAACGATCTCGGATGAGAACTCCCTCCAACAATCGTTTCCACTTGAGCCACATGGATTTCTCATAACTTTCACGCTCTTCTTCCAACTGGTGGTTGGACAATTCGGCATGGGCCTCCCGGAGCAAGTGTTCATTGTGCACATGGACAACAATTCCGCGAATGGTCGGGGTGCGATTGCCACCATGGCCTTCAAATCCCAACAGACAGGGAGCGTAGGGACTGTAGTATAGCAATAGTATAGTATAGTATACATTGTAAAATGATAGGATGAGTTTGGCAAAATGAGATGACAAGCATTCCACCACAAACAACTACAAATTTTCTAAAAAGAAAAAGAAAACGTACATTCCGAGTTGCTTTGCCAATTTGGCAATCCGTTCCAACTGCACATGGACGAGTCCAGGATTCAATAGTTCCAATTCGATATTCTTGTGCTCGTTGACTGGAATGGGGTCGTTGGGACCTACAATAGGAGGACTCCAGGCATCGGTCTGCCAAGATGCATAAATATTCTCTTTTCCATCCTCCAATGGAGCTTCCCCATCTTCCAACTGCTTCTTTTGAAATTCATCACCACCGTCATTACTATTTCCCACTCCATATGACTTGAGTGCCTTGAACCCTTGGGCAGCGGGTTTCTTTCGTGCCTTGACCCGCTTGATGGGTTTTGACATTTCAACAACTCGAACCTTGCGGCCTCGGTACAACCATTTCTTGGCAGGAAGGGCCTGTTCCACATCGATGCGACGAAAAACCATTTCTCCCTTGAAAATGCCACAGAATCGCTTCTTGGCATCGGGTACCAAGACTTCGTTGGCATTCATCACGGAAGGAATCACATAAATTGGATGACTCTTGAAGGCCGTCTTGCTGGTTGGAATGGGTTCCTGTTTGACGGATGCCTTAAGCTCCTTTTCTTCGTGATCGTCCACCATTTCTATTGATTTGTGGCTAGTACTAGCATCTTTTGCCTTCTCCTTCTTCTTCTTGCCCACTTCGTCCAAGTGTTCATCGTCCAATAGGATTGCATCCTTGGCACTTTTGCCCTTGTCACGAAGGGCTTTTCGTTTCTCAGTCGCATGAATATCATGAGGATGAGGATGATGATGATGATGATTCTCCTGACTAAGCACCGATTTCCACCACTTGTCCACCTTTACACCTTCCTTGACACGAGTTTGCTTTCCTCGAATGACGCCTCGTTTCTTGAGGGTATCCGTCCAGCTCGAAGAATATCGTGGAGTGACATCGGTCAATCGCTTGTTGACATGACTTGGAATGTGTTCTGCCGCCAAGGCGTAGGATATCGGAATCGTCTTTTTGGTTCCAGTCTTGAAGGGTAATTCATTCTGATCCGCATACAAGATGCCTTCTACCGATTGAGGTTGATTTATCAACTCGAATCTTGGATCGACGGGAATCCATTGATACTTATTATTGGCAGCAGTCGTCGTTTCCTGGTTCTTATTGCTGCTGGTGGTGGTGGTGGTGGTGGTATGACATAGGATTTCGACCCAGCATTGGTATCCTGGTGGTTTGATTTCATCCGTTTCCTGAATATTGCTAGTAGTACTACTTGGTTTTGCGGCGGGTTTGGAATCCATATCCTCTTGGTCCTTCACGCCATCATCCATTGTTGTTAAATCCACAACTTGAGGTTTGGTGTATGTCTTTTTACTCTTCCTCTTCTTCTTCTTTTGTTGTTGACTTTCGTACCATACTCGTTGAAAGACATTCTTGCAACGCTCCCCCATGATCTCTACAAAGATGGGATGATTGACATCCAAGTCCTTTTTGGTGGGTTCAAAGGCAATGACATAACGAGCCCTCCATCCCAGGGACCGCACCAATGAAATGAGCAAATGGACCTTGTCGTAGCAATTGAATGTTGGTGATGGAGGGTCATTCTTTTTTCCTTTTCCTCTCTGCTGACGACGATTGTTACTATTACTGCCTAGATGGGAGCAATATTCAATGGTGCGATAGTGCATGGTGGTAGCATTTGGGTAGTACCCATTCTTGCCCCTTTTGTTATTGTTGGGTGATGATTTGTTTTTTCGATACGATCCATATCCTCCCGGAGTCATTTGATGCTTTCGCACCAAGGTAAAGAAAAAATTGCAAAAGTGTCCCAGCTCTTGCATGGTTGGTGCTTGTTTCTGTTGTTGCTGTTGTTGGGATAGCCAGGCGGTGGGAAGTATGCTATGGGCGATGCACAAGACTTGCTCCTCACAACAATAACAGGAGGCCTTGGTCGCATGTGCTACAAGAGACAATAAATGAGTCTTTTGCAAATCGACTAGGAACCGTTGTAGGTCGGGCGCCAAATGTTCGTGCTGGTAGGACCGTCGGGCACGTTTTCTCTTTTTGGTTTGTCTTGCTAGTTTGGCCTCATCGGGCTTGTTCTTGTTCTTTCCAATGGCAATTTCCACAGTGATGGGCTTGAGTTGTGCGGACGACTGAGCTTTCCCCCCGACGACAGTTGCTGTACCACCATTGCTTTCGTTGTCCTCTTCCTCTTCTGCGTCTTCCCAATCAATTTCGTCGTCATCGTGGTCTTCCTCGTCGTCATCTCCATTCTGCTTTCCTTCTTTTTCATGTCCTTCCCCAAAGAAGGAAACGGTCATTGGGCCTGTTTTATTTGCGTCTCCTTCGTCGTCGTCACTGCTTTCTTCATCGCTACTCAGAGAAGCATTGTTAGCTGCAAGAAAGTTCTTCTTGGTACCAATGCCATTTCTATTGGTGGTTCTTGCATACTCATTTGACAAGGTGTTGTTGGTGGCGCCACCACGAGCACCATTGGTCCATTCGTCAAATCCTTCCTCTTCGTCCGACGAGAGATTCCAATCGTCCAAACTCATAATGTTATTTTTCTGCTATGGGACTAACAGTGTGCACATGTATATTGAATATTTACTCATGAATTATTGCAACGATGAATGGCAACGGGTTTTGGTTTGTGAAGCTGTAGGTACAGTATTAATACAACTATATTGAATATTTTCGAATTTGCTTCCACCTCGGAGACGTCTTGCGTCGCCCGTGTTTTGGATTTGGATCGAAGAAAATGAATGAGAATCATCATCCAACTCGAACTTACAGTACCTGGTACGATACGACCCATCCTGTACATTCTCAAGGTTCATACACTACATACACTTTTGCATACGTCATGTTGTCTTCCATTGCCACTACCGCTCTGCGACGAACTACTACTGCAACGTTTACTAGTGCCGTTGCTACTACTAGACAGCACTTCCGTCCTGCTCTAGCAATTCGTTTCTTTTCCGAGGACTCACACGGTGACTTTGCCCCCCAACGCAAGGTTGTGGAAGGAGAAGATGCCGCAATGAAAATGATTCAAGAGCATGTTGAAAGCAATCCTGTCATGTTGTACATGAAGGGAAATCCATCCATGCCCATGTGTGAGTAGAACTACATAGCTGTATAGTTGCGTAGTTGGATATTATTTTGGTGCCGATTGCATGATGACAAGGACTTGTCATCATCGTCATCATCATCAACAACAACATACTCATATCTTATACAATCCAATCTAATCTTGTCGCTCTCTCTCTCTCTCTTCTATTCCAGGTGGATTCTCGGCTACAGTGGTACAAGCACTCAAGGCCGAGGGAATTGATTTCAGCAGTGTCAATGTCTTGGATTATCCTGATATCCGAGAAGGTGTCAAGAAGTTTTCGTAAGTCGATGCCATTTTGTTTTGGTATTTGTATGTGTTTGTGTGTGTGTGTTTGTTGGACCAACTTGGCTAATCCTCCATGTACAAAATTGTATACAGTGAATGGCCTACTATACCTCAATTGTATGTCGATGGTGAATTCATTGGTGGATGCGATATTATTGTTCAAATGCACGAAAGTGGAGAACTTGCTGATTTGCTCAAGGACGTTGCGAAGAGCGAAGAGTAAACGACATACATACACACACACACACACACACACACACATACACACATTTTGAATAATATCAATGAATGAACTAGTGAATGAATGAATGAAGCAATTTTAATTAATTAATCAATTATAGCTGTCATACAGATGGACCGTGTTAACGTTCTCGATTATCCCCATTGCCTGTCCCCAATCTAGCTTTTTATCTCAAAGGAAGGACGGTCAAGTCCATAGTAGTATTGCCGCTGCTTCTGCTGCTGGTACCACCCATGGCTCCTCCCATTTTCATGAGAATCGTTGCATCCTTGATACTCTTTGGAAAGAGATTGCTCTTGGCGTGCAAATCCTTCTTGACAATCTCGTATTCGTCCAGTGGTAGTTGGAGGCGGACGGTGGAAACCTTGTCCAATTGATGATTTGCAGTGCCAGTCTCCTTGACGCCTGGTAGAATACAACACAAATTTACTCCTCCCCAGACCCATTGACTCGGGTCCTCACTCTTGTTATTGGTGGTGGTGTTGTCGGCTTTGCTAGTGTTGTTGTCAATCATTTCATCCACAACTTCTTCATAGACCACTTTGGCCACGTTTTCATATTTCAATCCACCATCGTTCTTGGATGCTTCCGTGGCAATGGTGGTATCCCAGCTCACCAAGCGGAGTAGTAAACACATTTTGTGCTGTTGCTGCGATTGTGCCTGTGCTTGTGCCTGTGGTGGCATCATTACAGACGAGTCCAGAACAGCCTCCTGTTGTTGTTGTTGTTGTTCTCCATGATCCACCCCAATGATAAAGGTAAAGATTGCCTTTGCTTCGGCATACCGAACCATTTCACGTGCCAAAAAGGAAGCGCAGGAACTCAATTCCATACTTTCATCGGTGATGGTGCTGATATTGAGTGGCAGTTCTTTTGGAATGCCATCATCACTACCGGTACTTCCACTACTACTACTACTACT